AGTGCAAAACGTGGCTGGGGCGTTAGTTAAACCGAACGGCATAACAAGAAACTCATAAGAGCCATACCTCGTCACCATGGCCGTTTTCGGTTCATCACCGGGTACTATGCGTACTTGGTAGTATCCCTTCCGCAAGTCTAGCTTGGAAAAGATCCGTGCCGTTGCAGCCGGTCGAACAAGTCCGCTATAAGTGGGATAGGGTACTTGTTCTTCACGGTTAGCTTGTTTAACGCCCGATAGTCGATGCACAAACGTAGCGTCCCATCTTTCTTGCGTTGGAACAAGGCCGGCGAACCCCACGGACTCTTAGACGGCCTTGCATGACCCGATTCAAGTAGCTCCTTGATTTGCACCTTGAGCTCCTCTAGCTCGCTAGGGGACATACGATAAGGCACCTTGGCTATCGGTTTCGCCCGTCCACCAACTCGATGGCATGATCAACCTCCCTCCTTGGTGGAAGACCTTTGGGCAAATCGTCGGGCATCACGTCCTTGAACTCAACAAGGACTTGCTCTATGGGAGGCGGGATTCGTTCCTCCTTTGCCGGCTCCTCGTGCATGGTTCCTCCTCAAACACCATGGCGGCAAAGGTGTGTTCACCCGTTTTAGCCCCTTGTTCAGCTGGGAAGGGCTAATCTCATTTTCCCGTCTAAACTTTACCACACAAGGCTTCTCGCCTTGGAGGATCACCATCGTGTCGTTGCTAGGCACGATGATCGGCTTTGCCTGGTCTAAAAACTCCATTCCAAACACAAGACCATAATCATCCATAGGTGCAATGGAGAAATTAGCCGTACGACCGATTGCCGATTTTAAGAGGCACATCCACGGCTTCGCCTACAAGACCCGTCCATTCGCCGTTCACGCCCTTGAAACGGCCTTTGCTAGGTGTCCACTTGACGCCAAGCGAACGGGCTACCTCTTCCGTGAGATAACTCGTGTCGGCCCCCGTGTCTAGCATGCCCCATCTAGACCCGTTTGCGAACGATGCCTCCATGTAAAGACGGCCTTGACGTGTCTCGGCCTTGGCATGCACGGCATCTAGCCGTTTCATGCAAGCGACCCGTTTCTCCTCTTCTTGGCACAAACCTTGTGCCAATGCTGCCAACCGAACGAGACGGGCAATCACGTGCCATGTGCGCTCCCCGCACAAGAAGCACCCTTGAAACTTCTTTGGCTTGTCCCCCTTGGTCTCCTTGCTTGAAGACGGCTTTGTATAGTCGGCTGCCGGCCATGGGGTGGAAGACTTCCTTTGTCTCCCCACCTTTGCCTTGGAACGGCTTCTTGCCCTTGTCCTTGGAGCTATCCTTCTTTTGGAACTCAACAAGCGACTCGGCCACCTTTAACGCCCGATCGATGTCCTGGACTTCTCTCCGTTGTAGCTCAAGTTTGGCCCAACGGTTGAGACCGTCCATGAAAGTAAAGAACGCCTCCTTGGGCGAGATCCGAATTTCAAGCATCAAGTCCGAAAATTCCTTAACGTATTCCCGGATTTGTCCTTCCCTATGGTGCAGACGACGAAGCTTGGCCCGGGCTTCGTCTTCCGCATCTACGGGTAGGAAATACTTTCTAAACTCTTCCTTAAAACCATCCCACGTGGTGAAGACCGGGTCTCCATCCCCCACGGGTTTCATCATACGTTTCCACCATGATAAGGCACTATCTTTAAGATAAAGAGAGGCTGGAAGAGTCTTACCGAGTCGTCCATGATATTCATAGCCCCAAAGTACCGTTCCATACTGTAGAGAAAGTTCTCTACGTCCCTCAAGCGACGGCTGCCCTTGTATTCGTCCGGCTTGGGCGCTTCAAGCCTTGGAACCGTCCCCACGGCTCGGTTGTCCCTTGCACGGCCACGGTGTCAAGCCGTGCCTTAAGACGCGCCGATTCTGCCCGAGAAGTCTCCAGCTCCCCCATAAGCCGGTTGACGTCGTCTTGGAGGGCGGCAACACGAGCAAGGCTTTCCTCTTTCGACTTGTTGCAACGTTCCACCATTTCGTTGAGCGTCCCTAGCATGTCGTCCTTCATTTGATGCATGACCTCTTGCAATTCCCCTGCGAATCGCTCCATGCGAGCTTCGACGACCCCTGCTACCACCTCAGGGTGCTCGTCCCAACGGTCTTGGTGGTCGGCCACAGCAAGCTCTAGCTTGGCAAGCCGTTTCTCAAATTCCACCATCGGCTCCCTAACGACCGACTTCTCCTTGCGGCTTCCTTTGCGGGTGGTCCTTCCCACCTCGCGAGAAACGTGATCCCCCTCAAGCTCCGACCCTTGAACAACCTCCGAAGGGTTAGACATAGCTTATGCACGAAAGAAAACTAGCAAACGGAAGCGTAGACGATGTAGCACACCAAGTATCGAGCCGAGGCTCTGATACCAACTGTCACGGGCTTACTTTTTCAAAGTAACGGCCGTGCGGCACTAGCACAAAACAACTAACGATCAAGTGCTAGCTCAGCCTTAAGACCCCCAAAGCGTGCAAAGCTAGGCAAGACCTTAAAGAACGGAGGCAAAGAAAAACTTAAGGAAGGTTGAAAGTGAAAGAATGATGAAGGCACAAGAGAGCTTAAGGAATGCTTGAGAACTCTACTCAAAGCTTGGATGGTTACAAATGGAGGGGGCATGGGGTATTTATAGGCAAACCCCCCAAGTCCTAAAGAATTCTAGAGAATTCTATGTACATAATAAAATAATGGGATTCTAGAGAATTCCTACAATAAAATATTCTAAGTTCAAAATATCTACAAGTCTCTAGAATCTTCCACACGATTCTAGCAAACTCGGGTAGCTTCCATACGGTTCCACTCGTTTCTAGAGAGTTCCGGGCCTCTCTAGAAAATTCCAGAGTCTTCAAGATTTGACCGGAAAATTCCACAAGGCTCTAGACCGTTCCGTTCCATGTCCGTCTACGAAAATAGCCCGTTTCGCATCAAACCACCTGAATTCATGGTGAAGAATAACTGTCCGTGACAGTTAGTCTTCCCCGGGCTATACTCAAGCTTGTGCTTAAACTCGGCCAAGAAGTCCAACCAACGTGCTTGCTTGCTTGAAAGCTTAGGTTGGCTTTGATGGTAGCTCACTGTCCGATTGTCCATCTTGATCTTGAATGGTGTGGCGACCTTCAAGTAATGCTCCCAAACTCTAAGGCAGTGAACTATAGCCAACATCTCCTTCTCGTGCGTCGGCCACCTTTTCTCGGTCTCATTCAACTTGCAGCTTTCATAGGTGATTGGGTGACCGTCTTGCATAAAAACGCCTCCAATGGCGAAATCCGAAGCATGCGAGCACACCTCGAACGGTTTCTCAAAATCAGGGAGAGCTAAGACTGGCTCTCGAGTGACGGCGTCCTTCAAAGCTTCAAACGCCGGTTTAACGGGTGTGGAAGACTTCCCTTTGTCTCCCCCACCTTTCCCTTGGAATGGCTTCTTGCCCTTGTCCTTGGAGCCATCCTTTTTTTGGAACTGGACAAGCGACTCGGCCACCTTTAACGCCTAATCGATGTCTTGAACTTCCCTCCGTTGTAGTTCAAGCTTGGCCCAATGGTTGAGACCGTCCATAAAAATAAAGAATGCCTCCTTGGACGAGAGATCCGGGATTTCAAGCATCAAGTCCGAAAATTCTTTAACGTATTCTCGGATTTGGCCTTCCCTATAGTGCAAACGGCGAAGCTTGGCTCGGGCTAAGTCCTCTGCATCCACGGGTAGGAAATATTTTCTAAACTCTTCCTTAAAACCGTTGCACGTGGTGAAGACCGGGTCTCCGTCCCCCACAGGTTTCATCATAACTTTCCACCATGATAAAACACTATCTTTAAGATAAAAAGAGGCTTGGAAGAGCCTTACCGAGTCATCCATGATATTCATAGTCCCAAAGTACCGTCCATGCTGTAGAGAAAGTTCTCTACGTCTCTCAAGCGACGGCTGCCCTTGATCTCGTCTGGCTTGGGCGCTTCAAGATTTGGAACCGTCCCCATGTTCCCAAATGTCCCTTGCACGGCCATGGCATCAAGCCGTGCCTTAAGGCGTGCCGATTCTGCCTAAGAAGCCTCCAACTCACCTATGAGTCGGCCAACGTCATTTTAGAGGGCGGCAACACGAGCAAGGCTTTCCTCCTTTGACTTGTTGCAACGTTCCACCATCTCGTTGAGCGTCACTAGCATGTCGTCCTTTATTTGCTGCATGACCTCTTGCAATTTATCTGCGAATCGCTCCATGCGAGCTTCGACGACCCCCGTTACCACCTCGGGGTGCTCGTCCCAATGGTCTTGGTGGTCGGCCACAGCAAGTTTTAGATTGGCAAGTCGTTTCTCGAATTCCACCATTGGCTCCCTGACGACCGACTTCTCCTTGCGGTTTCCCTTGCGGGTGGCCCTCTCCACCTCGCGGGAAACATGATCCCCCTCAATCTCCAACCCTTGAAAGACCTCTGAAGGGTTGGACATAGCTTATGCACGTAAGAACACCAACAAACGGAAGCGTAGACGATGTAGCACACCAAGTAGCGAGCCGAAACTCTGATACCAACTGTCACGGGCTTACTTCTTCAAAGTAACAGCCGTACGGCACTAGCACTCAAACAACCAACGAGAACGTGCTAGCTCACCCTCAAGACCCACAATTCGTGCAAAGCTAGGCAAAGCCTAATAGAACGTAGGCAAAGAAAGCTTAAGAAAGCTAAGAACGGTGTAGGCACTAAGAAAGAACGGAGAGCTTGATGTATGCTTGAGAATGCGTCACTCAAACAAAGGATGGTTACAAATGAGGTAGGCTTTGGGGTATTTATAGGCTAAGTCCCAAGTCTAAGAGAATTCTAGAGAATTTTATACAAAGAATAAAATAATAGTTATCTAGAGAATTCTAAGACTAAAATATTCTAAGTGTGGAATTCCATAGAATCTATAAGTTCCTAGAAAGTTCTATCCCGTTCTAGATCGACCTAGCAATCCTCGAGAGGCTTCCCCACATTTTCAGCAAAGTGCGGTTGCTTCTAGAGAATTCCAAATTTATGTGGAATTGGCCCGAAAAATCCAGCGTTCCTCTAGTACGTCCCGTCCCTTAGTCTGGTTAAGGGAACGCCCCGTTCATGCAGGAAACCCCACAAACGTGGGAAAGGACGGCCTAACCTGAGAGCGGGGAAAACGGCCGTGACACTTGTAATATGATTGGCCGGGCGGTCATCACGTGACAGCAGCCTTGAGTCACGGTTATATCATCTTTTTAATTGGGCCAATATTGTAATTAGTTAATTGATATTTTTTAATACTAATTTCTGTCAAAAAAAACCCCCCTTCCCGAACGACACCGTTTTTTAACAAAACCCCCCACCTTCAAAACGACGTCGTTTTGAACTTGGCCCTTTTTATTAAAAAAAACCCAAATTGTTTCACGGACCTTCAGGTTCCCCGCAACCCCAAATCGTTTCGTTCTTCATTCCCCGCACAAAATCAGAAGAGCCCTAAAAAGGAAAATCCCCAAATAGGTTCCTTCTACTCCAAATCAAGTCACGGTGGTAGATTTGGAGGTGGTGTAGATCGTGGAGTCGGAGGAGGTGCTGTTGGCGGTGGAGGCAGAGGTGGTGGTGGTGGAGGCGGTTGAGGAGATGGCCTCGGTGGAGGTGCTGGACATGGAAGCTGATTGGAGGTGGAGTAGGAGGAGGATCCGGAGGAGGTGTTGAAGGTGGCGGTGGCATTAGATTCCGAGGAGGTGGTGACGGTGGAGTAGGAAGAGGATCTGGTCTCGGAGGTGGTATCGTAGGAGGTGTAGAGGGTGGTGGTGGCCTTGGCGGTGGAGCAGGAGGAGGTGATGGTGCTGGCGATGGTGTCAGTGGCAGTTCCGATGGATTTGAGCCTTACATCCTCTCTCACTACAAATTTCACCGACCCCGATTCGTCCATCATTTATCTAACTCGACTTTAGACTAAATTAAGCAGTCACTGATTTGGCAGATTTACGGGATGAGTGGGGAGAGAAGACAGCGACTGAACTTCCTCCCACATTGGCCGCCGGCTTTTTTTAGGTGAGCGAATTTAGCCTGACTTCTTAAAAGTGTATGGTTCTGTAGCATGCTCTCATTCAATGGCGGGGAGGATTAATGTAGTCGCTTGTTTTAGTAACTTAATTCTAATATTATTCTTCCACGTCAATGTTATTTTCTCAGTGACTATTTCCTTGATTTTCAATTTCTGGGATTCAATTGATTATTATTTTTATTTCTCACTCGAATGAACAAAAGAGGAGATTGGGTTTTCTGTCGCACAAAGTTGGGAGTGGCGACGTTGAAGCTGGGGACCATGTCCATACTTGGAGAACCGGATTACTTATTCACATCATGGTTAGAGCTATTCTCACTCTATCTCTGAAATACTTCCCTCAGTAATTTCTCATTTTAGTTGCCTTTTTGCAGGAACTTTTTTTGCCTTTGGGTCATTTATTCGTTTTTTTAGGTTAATGAAGCAAAAGGTGTAATCTCGAAAAGAATGTAAATGTTGTTTGCTTTACTTTTTTTGAGATTTTGGGTTCACGCATGTTAAAGTCATATAATTTTGGATCAATTTGATACAATTATTGATTGAAGCTTTTTGTTGTTCTGTGTTGTTGTTTATCATTCAGTTAATTTGAAAAATTTCTCTGTAAAATTAAAACACTATTTATTGTTTAGTGATCTGATTACATTATTTATTTTATAGGTTCTTGCAGTTTCTCAACCTGGGTTTCCTTTTCCGCGCGAAAGCTTGACACGCGACGGACAGATCAGGCCCTCATGTTGCCACTGATTACGGGGCTCAAAGGCGGTGAAGATAGTGGAGATACTCTGTCATTGACTCCTGTGTTCGTCACTGATACACGAAGGTTTGTCAACGTATTTTTCCAGACTGCCGACGCATTCACAGTGGTTGACGACGAAGTTGACTCCGATGTAAGGCTGCCGGGATCCGAGGCAATCGGTGTTCCGGCAATAGCTCTGATCTGGCAAAGTTCCAAAGTCAGAACTGGCTAGAAATTTCAGCAAGAAGCTGGCCAATTTCAGAGGCCATAGCTTCAGATTTAAAGCTCTGATTCAGAAGTTTTTTTTAATAGGGTTACGAAGTTCAAGGAACAATGTCCAACTTTCATCTAGAAAAAACTCCAAATTAAGGCTGGAAAAGAGTGAAAAAAAGCGAAGAATTTGGTTACTCGGACTGGAAATATGGAAATATCTTTTCTTCCAGCATTCACCCGACTATTATATCTAATGCTTTGCATAAAACTTGGGTGAAGACCGTTGAAGTTCTGACTGCCATGGCTGTTCCCCTTGAGCTTTCCAACTGCAAATCTCTTGTGAAATCGGCAAGTACGGCTTTGAATTCTAAGGTAATTTCACGATACTCCACTCTTTTGGCTCCTTTAGCTGTTGATTCGGTGCTTTCTGTTGTGGACCCTGAGAAACCTTATTTAGTTGATTTGAGGGATATTAAAATTGTGAAGAAACTAGACGGTAGTGTTGATGAGACTGGATTGGTGAAAGGTTTAATTTTTGATAAGAAGGTGGTTAGTCATGCTTCTGGGGGTCTTACTCGTGTTGAGAATGATAAGATTGTGATACAGTTTCAGATTTCTTCCCCTAAAACTGATATGATTTGGAGCAGAGTGTAGTGGTTTCAGATTATACCCAGATGGATAGGATTTTGAAGGAGGAAAAGGAACTATATTTTGGGATTATTAAGAGGATCAAGGCCACTAGGTAGAGTGTAATGTTGGAACAGGAGTATTTGGAGGGATGCAGTGACTGATTTGTCATTGCATTATTTGGCTAAATCTAAGATTTTGGTGGTGAAGGATGTGGAGAGGGATGAGATTGAATTCATTACCAAGAATTTGAAATGTTTGCATATTGCTAACATTGAGCATTTCAGGGCTGAGAAGTTGGGGTTTGCAGGTTTAGTGGAGGAGGTTTCACTTGCGGATGGTGGGAGTCATCCAATTTGGGAACATCGACTTCGTTACTTTGAGGTATTATTCATCTTCCACCATCCATATTCATTATTTTAGTCTTCTTTTCTTATCATTATTTTGGTTCAGTGTTTTTAGGGTTCTGTTTGATTTCAGAGTTGCGTGCTGTATTTCTTCCTCAATATTGCCGGAACAATTTTGTCTATATGATTCTTTATATGTTATCAGTTTCTAAACTGAGCCGAAATAATTAGCGTTTCAATGCTTTGGTACCTTTGGATTTCTGCTTTGTTTCAAAATGCACAAATTGATAATCAGTCTAATTGTTAAGAGTTGTTTCCAGTCCTTTAAAATAGTTATGGAATTTATGGAATTTGTTAAGATTTGTGGCTACTTCCCTACGTTTTAGCTAATAACTTATGGAAGCCCGTCTCCATGAAAACTATTGTATATTGAAGGAGTTATCTTACTAAAGTCTTGCTCCCATAACAAGTATTGTGTATGAATTGTTTTGTGTCCTCCCTGTTAGATTTACTTTTGTTGCTCTTCAATTTGCAACATTTGTTTTGTCCTGGTAAGTTCTAAAACAATTTCTGGTCTGATTATTTCTTTGCTATGACTTTGTAAGCTAAACTACATTGCTGTTGTGATAATGAACCTACTATAGAATCTCTCTCGATATTATCTATGTTCCATTCTTTGAGTTACTTGATGTTGCATGGCATTCTCTTCTAGAATGTGGGTTTTGTCTTCTTTTTAGTGGTTCTTGCCTTGTGTTTAAATCAGTGGAGTGAAGAAACTGACGGCAACTGCAATCAATTTTGTGTGCGGATGAAATAGAAGCATGCCCTCCTGATGAATATTTTATTTTCTTTTTTCTTGCACTTTCAGTCTGAGTGGCAGCAAGGATTGGCAGCTCCTAGAGTTGATAATATAACCAAATTGAAGAAAGCTCTGCCAATTTTGGAAATAGAGGTATACTACTTTTTTGGTCATCAATATTCACTTCTGGAGTTTGTCAAATAGAACAAACTTTTTGAATTTCTACCAGATTATCATGAGTTTCACAGTTGTTACCAGACATTCGGAATAGAAGCGCATTGGAAGATCTTCCATTGTTACTGCTCACAGGAAAATTCAGATTTACAACGTCCATCCAAAAAAAACCTTCACTGATGGTTAAATGCTAAGCATTCAATTGTTGTTGAGCGAAACTCTTAGTGATGGGTAAGCACGATTTTCAGATCTCGGAGGCGGAAATCCGCTCTCTCTGCACCTATTCTCGTGAAATTTTCCTTCAACAGCAACCTTTTGGAGCTTGAAGCGCCAATTAGGATCTGCGGTACTCTTCCTCCTGTTTTCTTCGTCCTTTTTATTTTATTCAACTTGTTTTTTTCCCACTGTATTATTATTTGATGAGCGTTGCTGTGAATATAAACTTTATCAACCCATCCTATCTGTATATATATGCTTAGATATTGTATATATAATTAGGTATTGGATGTTTATGTGTTTATATCTGCACATTAGAGGGTATAGAAAGTTGTTCGAGCTTTCTTCTTTGCCTTAGGTGGTTTGTGCGTTGGTGGCTCATTCTTTGACGTTTTATCTGTCTTTTATGGTGTCCAAATTCTGAATAAGTGTATTTGCAAGTAAGGGGAGTTGGACTTCTATCAAGATAAAATTTTGATGTTTAATCTTCGAATAGTGGTTCAGTTTCTACCTTTCATTTCTTTAGTTTGGAACTGTTATTTGCTTCAGCTAAGGTTTTTGAACAGCTTTAAATGGGACATGCTTCTTTCGCATGCAGAAATAAATGTAGGATTACTATTGGAAGAAGTTTTTATTGTCTAATTATATTGATCCTTGGTGGATTGTCTTCAGATTGAAGAGAGAATTTCTTATTGGCATTTACCAGCGATTCTGAACTTTTACTTTCATAAGGTGCATACCCCATTTCTGGTTGTCAAGCTCATTCTTTGTTCACAAAAATCCACCTTTTTCTTGATTTCGTCGCATGACAAGTGTTTTCATCTTTATGCCTTTATTCCCTACCTGCATTTGTTGAAAATCCTCTGTATAAGACTGCCATATGTTTGATACCTTGTTCAATCCTTCATAAAGAGTGTCTTATAGTTGTGTTGGGAAATTTATTTGAAGTGTTCTGATTGCATTTATGGTGTTCCTAAACTCATTAGTCTCCGAAAAGTTATTCAATCTCATCAAGTGTGTAGTTATGAAGCCTTTACAGGGGAGCACTGTTAAATGAGAGTTGTATGTAGATGTCTTGAAAGCCTTGCTTTCGGGATAATTGCAGACAATAGGACCATGTTGTGAGTTTGATAATCTAGCAGACAATTGCAGACAGATTTTAAGTATCAAGATTTATGACCAAGGCAGCTATTGCAGTTACCGTTAAACCTGTGATTCCCACCAGTGTTGTCTGCAGTGGCTATACTTTTCTTTTGACGGGGATCCAGATGTTTTTGGGAAGAGTGGGAAGATGTGTTTGTATTCTGATGGGGAAATCAAATGTTTGAAGGCATACCAAGGTTCTCAATGCAAATGACAATTTGTACACTGGAGGCAATGAATCTGTAAATGTCTGGCCATTAAAACTTCTTAGTGAATTTTGTTTTCTACTTTCATTTGTTTGGCTTTGGCTGCATTATTATAAATTTCAGTGGTTATTTTGTGATTCACCCATTACAACTTATCATTGTGATGGTTCTTACCAGCTGAAAATTGTATTCTGTTTATTTGTTTCTTTCCAGAAATTGCACAAAAGCCTCCACCCTGGTCACTCCCTTCTATGAAGAGATTAGCCTATTTCTGCTGCCCGTGCCTAACAGCAAAATTTAGAGCTTTTGCAATCAGTGTGCAAGAAGGTGACTGAAACTGGCGGCAAATTACAACAACCATGACTAAGGCAATGACGTTATTCTTGACAAATGGATGCATTATGGTTTAAGATATGTGGAAAGTTGAAGAGAGAATTGATATAAATGACGTCATCCTGAATTATCGATGAGAACCTTCATGAGGAGGTCTATGTTGTTTTTCCCTTCCCAATTGTCTGCTTTTCACTTTTGACATAGTTGTTCAAACTTATGTATCTTGCTGGATAGGGAAGAATTGTTTTGTAGGTTTTTTTGAGGTTTGAAAAGATCTTACTAATCGCATTGTTGATGTTTGGTACAAGGTTTTACATATGATGACTATTTAGGCATCCACTATTACTTATTCTTTCATACATGTTACAGGTAGATGTGCTGAACTTTGCTATCAGATTTGCGACAAACGCCTCCATCCTTCTCTAAGATTGGAAATGTACATCCTCTCTGGCATATTTGAAAATCACAGAATCACAAAGTTTGGGAAGGGGCAAGTTTTGATCCAAACCTGAGTTGGACATTGGTTAGTAAGGACTTCAGCAGTAATGAAAAGTTTTTTGCTGCAGTTAACCAGCCGAAGGTAACAGTGATTACGAACACATCTCTTCCTAATGTAAGCTTTCAGGTGTTCGATGCGGAGATTATTATTGATGGTTTTTTTCACGTTAATACCTTGTGAGCAGCAGCTGCTTCGAAGATTACGAACATGCAGGGTGTTGTCACACAGGTCAAAGTTGTTGCAATCCAAGTTATAACACCACTTTTAGTGTAAATGATGGCATGTATTTGGGCTTTATAGGAAGCTGATGCAAGAGTCAATGTTTTTACTGATTGTAGCTTTCTTGAATCTGATGCTCTTGATGAACTATACCTTTTCTGGGAGTGTCAAACTTTAGTAGAAAAATTAATTAAAGTTAAAGATAGTATCAGAGTTTGTTCTGTTACTAAAGTTGCGAGAGATGTTAAAGGTCTATAATTTAGTCTACAACTGTGTTATTGTGTAATTCCATGTGTTTTTAATAAAATATCAGCTCTTTATACATAAAAAAAGAAGTGGAGAAGAGGTGTTTTTCACCTAGGCCCTATTCGATGGCCACCAATTATTTACATGAATCGGTTTTATAGTTGGAAAAATTTATTGAAGTGCTAACATCCAGCAACACCTGCAGGTGAAGAATTTGAACCACATCAAAGTTGAAGTCTCCAAGCGGAAGAAAGAAAAGAAGAGGCGTTAAAGTATCAATTCATCCTAAATCATATTAATAAGCAATATGTCATTATGATCTAAGAAGAGATTTCTTCAACTCATACCACATTACGGTCTTGTACTGTCTGTATATACAGACCTTCGTAAACCCTAATAGACAACAGTTTTACGGCTTCTGATTAATGCCGGCCACCTCAATCTTCTGTCTTGATATGGTATTAGAGCGTGCTTGGTCTGTGGTAGAGTTCTGGGTTAGAGGTGGTCCGTTGTGATTTTATATTTTCCTACTTGAGCGTTGACTCGTGGACTTGTTGTGGACCAAACCAGCGGTATAACTGGTTTTCTCCCACTTGGGTATTGTCACAGGCTAGGGTTAAAATGAAATTTATGTTAGTTGAGGACAAGGTTGATCTTATCAGGGAGGGAGTTGTCACAGGCTGGGGTTGAAATGAAATTTATGTTAGTTGAGGGGTTTGTTTGGAACTTTGGGTTATTAAATGCAATTCAGACAAACTTAGGGATATTAATGGTAATCGTCTTGGTTGTTTTTCAGTTTTTGCAGTTGCCGGCCAACTGGTTCCTTACTGGATTTTTCCCAGAGACCGTTGAGCACATGCATTTGGCATTTCTGAGTAGCATATAAAAGCGATGTAGTCTTGCAGAGGGAAATTTTGTCAAAGAAATACATCATTTTTCAGTTTTCTTCTTTACGCCCCACTTTGGTATTTTCTTGTTCTTCGGTGTCTGTTTATAATTCCGGCAAACTCCCGCCGGGATCTGACACGTATTGACTCGTGGGCTATTCTATTCTTGTCCTGATCCAAGTCTATTGGGCAATAAGTTCAAAGACCCATTGGACTTGAGGGAAATTGTTAAGGTGTATTATGTTGTCCCACATCGCCACCTTGAAGAGAAGTGACTCTATAAATAAGTGCCAAAGGCCACTACACACATTGTCAAATTAGTTTTGAGATGGGAGTTCAAAATACTTATATACTTTAACATGATATACAAACACTAACCCTAATATTATTCTTCAAAATTACGGGACAATATGACAAGTCATAAGATTATTATTTGTATAGAGTTAACTTTAGATCTATTGCATTAATATATATGACTACAAAGTGGATGTGTGTTCTGAAAATTTGATTTAGCAAAAACCCAAATATCAATTGCATATACTCCGAACCAAGTGACAAGGATTTTGAATTTCATGACAAAATGATTTTTTTTCCATTAATCAAAAATGTATTTCCAACTTGAAAAGCATAATCTTAATTAGTGCAACAACTAAAAGCCAAAGCACTAAAAGAAATACATCCGTACATACTATCAACATAGTGATTTCATAATTATGGATCGTGCTATTAATAGGAAAAATAATAAATCAAGAAACATAACGATTAACAGGACCAAAGAAACAAAATACTCGTTGGAAGTTCAAGGTAGTTACCTCGACCACATTTCAATTGGGAGTTCCAACGTGTTTCTACAACATACCATTCAACTAAAATCACCAATACAAATAAAGTGTTAATGCAAACACGCTTTCAAGTCTCCAAATACGACGATACTTTTAACTAAAGTGCAATATTAAGAACCAAACTTCACATAAGGTACAACAACATCTAAATGTGAGAATGCTACTTCTCATTTGATCCTCAATAGCTTTAATTCTTACTGGATTTTCTTTATTGCTGTCAACAGTTGTCGGAATCGAATGTACTTGGCAATGTAAACCTAGAGTGTGTGTGTGTATATATATATTAGAAAAAGGAAAACTAAGAAAAGAGAAAAATGCCATCAGTTGATCAGTAGCAAATCATCATCACCACAAAGTAAATCATACTATAATCAAATATATAATTTGGACAAAAAATTTAGAAAAAGTTGACAAATGTATTAAATGTTTTTATTGAAATTAATCCACAAAAAATGGATAACAAAACTGGAAAACTTTTTGTTTCTGCTTTTGAAGAACAAAAAAGTTTCATCAAAAAATTCATCATGTTTCTTTCGGATGGATTTTTTTACCCCACTGGAGATACCGCATTTTTAAAGAACATTAAAAAAACTTAGCCATATAATCAATTCAACGACTAAAAAAATATGCAATATCAAAAAATAAAATAATTTATGCTTCAGAATAAAAACAAATGAAGAACAATTTAATGGGCTTAAATCATTGAACCAAGATATAGAATTGTTTCTCATCTAGAACCTCAAATGAATATATGTATCAAATATGGCAAATTATCTGGTACACCCGGGGGTACCGTGTACCCCCCTACATGTGTACTTTACTCTCTTATAATAGCGTGAGTAAACTTACCCGGGGGTATCTCATACATAAATTATCGAATTCATTCAAATTTTGAAAACTTTGTGATGGAGTATTATTGTTGGGTGACGGCCGGCGGCGATCGAGGTGTTGAGGCGGCAATGGGAGTCAGCGATCAAGGCGTTGAGGTGGAAACGGCGGGCGGCGATCGAGTCGTTGAGACGGCGACGGCGTTCAGCGATCGAGCAAAAGCTCCGATTCCACCAAAGTGGCGAAACGATAATTGGATCGATGATATGCTGAGTTCAGATCGAGTGATGAGTTATCTCATTGAGGATTCCAGCTTGATGAATGCGGAATGTAGTGGTAGAAAATTCATCGAACAATCTTACTGTGCCACCAAATCAACGCAAGGTCACAGTTCTATTGTTGATCCGCTGCAATCAGGTTTGTGTAGGTTTCGGAGTGTACTGTTTCTGAGAGAAGAATCAATCTAGTTATTTCATTTTATTTTTCTTCATTTTTCTTTTGATAGTTTTTGTTAATATTGTATGAAGTGGATAAACAGTTATGCTGTGTTGGATATCGTTTATTATTTAGACGGATATGCGGATATGCTTTTTGTTGATTGTGGTAAACATGGATAGACGATGCGAAGTACTGATTATGAAACTTTCTTTTTGTTTTACTGGTTTTCCTACTCGTTTTGTGTTGGTTTTCCAACTTGTATGAAATTTGTATGAATATCCAACTTGTTTGTACTGGATATCCAACTTGTTTGTATTAGATATCCAGCTTATGTGTACTGGTTATCCAACGGATTTATATGCCTATGCACATTTTATTTGATGGATATCCAACTGATTTGTATTGAATATCCAACATTTTTTAGTTGTTTATATTGAATTGGTGTATCAAAGATTTTTTTTTTTAATTTTTTGTTTTTTTGTTTGTCTCATTTTTTGTAAAAGATAACCATATCAATGAGTTGGAGGATTATGTGATGCTGGATGATGCTTTGTGCATGGAAGTTACATCTGCTCTGAGAAGTAGGTTTTCTAACTTGTTTATATGTGTTTAATTTTTTTTGATTTTGTTTATCCATTGTGTTAATACTGATTGTTAATTTTTTTTTGATTTGTTTATCCATTGTGTTAATACTGATTATTCGACTGTTTGGTAATGGTTATCCAACCATCTCTTTTGTTTTTCTCAGAATGTGGAGAAGATAATAGCAACAATGAATTGGGAGTTGATAATGTGATGGTGGAGGAGGATGCTTTGCGCAAGAAAATTTCATCTGTGACGAAGAATAATGATTTGGCTGTTTTTACTTTAGTTGGCAAGACTGCAAGAAGTGAGAAAGAAGCTTATGACTTGTATAATGATCATGCCCGATTGATTGGTTTTAGTGTGAGAGTGGGAAAACAGAAGTTTAGAGGTAAGACTGATAAAGTTAGGATGAAGAAGTTCTGTTGTAACCGCGAAGGATACAAGAGATCCAGTGGAAATGGTGATGTGTGCCATGAGAGGATTAATTTTTGGTGTGGGTGTCCAGCTTATATCCATTTTATTGTTCACAAAGATGGGTTGTGGACCTGTACAAAGCATCTGGTTGATCACAATCATGATCTTGTGTCGAATGAAATGATTGGACTTCTTTTATCTCAACGGGAAGTAGATGAAAATGATATGAAGATAATCAGAGACATGACAAGGAGTGGCATCCCTTTGGTTGATGCATATAAGTTTGTGGCAAAATTACACGGGGGAAGTTCGAACATGAAGTATACTTTGAGAGATGCCTACAATTATGAGCGTCCTAGTGTTGGATTTGAAGGTGGTGATTATAATCAGCTGATAAAGATTTTTTGGGGCAGGAAGAAAACTGAAGAAGATTTCTTCTTTGATTTTGATTGTGATGAGCAGGGTAGGGTGTGTACTTTCTTCTAGAGGGATGGCAGAATTCGAAAGGATTATGATTTGTTTGGTGACTTGCTTGTGTTTGATACGACGTATCGAACAAACAGATATGGAATGATCTGTGCTCCGTTTGTGGGTATGGATAATCATAACAAGAATGTCATGTTTGGTTGTGGTTTCGTGTAAACGAGAAAGAACCCTCTTTTGATCGGTTGTTCAAGCATTTTTTGAAATCAATGGGAGATAAGCAGCCACAAACCATAATGACAGATCAAGTACCTTCCATAGCAGCAAGTATTCGGACATGTTTTCCAAGTTCTCGGTATCGTCTCTGTGTATGGCACATAGGTGAAAATTCAAGAAAGCGAATTGGTCATTTAAGGAACAAGCCAAATTTTGTTAAGAACTTTAATTATCTGATGAAATACACTTCAACAGAAATCGAGTTCGAGGTGTTATGGAGGAGGTCAGTTTGTCAATATTTTTATTATTATTTTGATCATTGCCATTATTAAGAGTGTCTCTTATTTTTTTTGTTGTGTGGGTATGTGTTAGTGGTCATGCATGATCTTCCTGATGATTACTTATAGGCAGGTAAGTTATACAACAATGATGGATAACAGGCAAATAATGTATGGACAAGCAGCCGCATAGAAGCACAACTAAAAGAAGGCATGGATAACTAGTTTACACATTGTGGATAACCAGCAATTATGGCTAGATAACTAGTTTACACCTTGTGGATAACCAGCAATTATGGCTGGATAACTACTTTACGCCTTGTGGATAACCATCAATTATGGCTGGATAACTAGTAGAAAGCCTTTGTATAAGCATTAAGAAATTATTGCAGGGGTTTAAAGGGGTTACTGATGAATAGACAGTACCAAATTTTGGATAATCAGTAAATGATTACTGGATAAGCAGTAGAAAACCTAAGGATATACATGTTTCTTTGTGGATCTATATGGATAATCTAACTATTTTTCTTTTTTTGCATGTATTTTATATTGTTGTGCATAGATTATTGGATGAGTATGATTGTCATGATGACAAATGGCTCAATGGTATTTATGATGTGAGGCATATGTGGTGCCCTGCATTTAGCAAAGTTATTTTTTCTGGTGATACCTTGTCTTCACAGAGGAACGAGTCAACAAATAATGCAATTTGTCGTAAAATGAAGGCCACATCATCACTTTGTGATTTCCATGGAATTTTCTCTGATATTGTACACTGTTGGCGGGTAGCCGTGAGGGGTGAAGATCTACGTTGTAGCCAGGGAAACATCGATTCATATCTTCCTGGTGACCCTTTCCTGGAGAGCATTCGCAGAGTGTACACAGTTGAAGCATTTCGGGAGGTTCAGCACTTGTACACAGTTTGAACTGGTTATCCAACTTGTTTATACTGGATATCCATCCATTGGCTTTGTAAGCCTATCCAACTTGTTTTGTAGTTGTAATCCAACAGGTTTGCATGCATATCCAACTTGCTTATACTAGATATCCAACTCGCATGTACTAGATATGCAACTTTAAATGCATATAGATATTACAAAAAAGACATCAACACGTTGGACACGCTTTCTTCACAAATAATATCATTGGATAATCAGCATAAATAATGTGGATAATTAGTACAAAGTCCTCGGATAACCAGTATAAGATCAATGGACAATTATTTTCAGTAATAAATTAATAAGGGAAAGATAAATTTTTTTTAAAAAAAAAAAAATCCTAAAAGTGTGTTAATGTCTCCCAAAAGTAATATTCTGTAATGATGAAACTGGTTTCTAGATTCGGCGATGTACTTGTGTAATTTTCCTGGTAGGAACACTATACAACATCAAATCTCGATTATCGTATCCTTTGACAATGAACTGTCCCACTGGAGATGATTTGTGGCTTAGAAACACTGGATAAAGCCAATCATGGCGGAACTGTAATCCGTGTGGAGCGTGTGTGTTCACATTTGGGGATTCATGGGTCTCGAACATGCAATCCCATGTGGAAGTATCCGGATCCCATGCCCACATCTGACAGTGATGATTCTGAGTAATGTGGTACTCATCTATTACACACAGTCCCCTGGAAGTCTAATATTTCACTTGGAGATTCATATGATAAGGATCAATGGGGTTAAAGAAGATTGGAGATGGAGGGCAATTTATGGTTTGGAATTGTTGAGTGTGGTAGTCAAACACGACCAGCAACTCTTGAGGTGTTGCTATTTTTCAGAGGATAGTTTGTCTACACGCCAGTACACAAATCTATCAAACCAGGTTCCATCAGATACAAGGCGAAGAAATACATTGCAAAATATTTTCCATTCCCCTCTATGAATACTTGAACAACTTTGAAAAGAAAAAATGCAGCCTTGCATGTTTTTTCCATCAGCAATAAGGGCCATGAAAATGTAAGTTTTTGAGGATGATACGTACCCAAATGCTTTTTCACAATTGCTGAGATGTACATCATATGGCCATTCAATTGATGCAAGTTGTGTTGTCTTTGGGTTCAAGAATTTGATTTGAGACCTGGTTTGCAGACAGAACAAATCTATGGTGACAGACATGATTTTATGGATGCCGTCGTCACCCATCGACATCTCTTCTTGCAATCGTATGTGGTTGCATGGGTTATCCATTTGCACTTTTATGTTGGTGACGATTAGTTTGTCTTGCAACAGGTGACCTTCTTGGCTTGTTTGAGTCAAAACAAGGATGTTTTTTTCAGTTGCAGGGTAGCTCATCTCACGTTTTTTAAGAACAAATTCTTGTCTTTTCGTCATTTGCTCCCAAGTTTTGCTGACACGATGGTACTCACCAATTTTTTCCAATGTCAGATTAATGAACATATTATCAAGCATATTGTGATGGATATATTTAGGGTAGTTGTTCTTTTCTTGCTTTGCTTGCTTGGGGAACATTTGTTTGGTTGTGGAATTTGAGGAAATTTTTTTGTTTTTCATTTTTTCTGGCCGTTGGATGTTTTGGATGCTCAAATCAGGCGTTCTGGTGTTTGTGCAGATGAGGGAGTTTTATAAAAATACTGTATGTGGAGATGTCAGGGAGTTTTATGGAGACTTTGCAGGTAGGTTTTTTTTTTTTTCTGATATTGATAGAGGTAGTTTGACAGATTAACTACCCATGCAGTCTTATCTTTTTGCACAAATCATTGTCTTCTCACTTTCTATTCATTAACTGTCATTGTGATAATCAAGAAACTCATTTAATGACAGTTATGTAACTGATCCTTATTCAATCCATTCCATGTAAAAGCGTGTGCCTCTGTAACTACCCATTAGATCATGATGTACTCTGCACAAACATTAGCCTTTCAGTTTTCTTTTTTTTTTTACTTTTACTCCCTCAATCTTTTAAATTCTATTTAATTACAAAACGTGTGGCTTTTCAGTTATACACAGTAACATGCTCCACACTGTGGATAACCAGTGTTGACAACGTGGACTATCATTTTTTTTGTTTTATATTTTTCTTGGATATCCTTGTCCGTATTTTTTACACTCGTTTAGTTTATCATGGGGGATCTATACAAGTACTTAAATTCTATTTAATTACAAAACGTGTGGCTTTTCAGTTATACACACTAACCAGCTACACACTATGGACAACCAGTGTTCACAATGTGGATAGCCAGTGTCGGCACTATGGATAATTAGTTATACACAGTTGGATAACCAGTATTGACAATATGGATAATTAGTTATACACAATTAAACTTACCTTATTTCCATCATTTGGCAAACTGCCCCTCATTAATGTTTTGTTCTCCATCTCCTTTATTTGGCAAAATGCCCCTCATTCAATTAAATACTATTTATGAAACTTGCCGTGTTCGGCAGGGGAGCGGCGCAGCCAGGTCGTTTAGTTTATCACGGGGGATTTATACAAGTAATTTGTGTCACCTCTTAACGCAATAACACACTCTCATTACACACACTCTCTCCTAACACACACACAAAAAAAGGATTACCCCAACTGCATTGGCGTGTTTGGCAGGGTGGCGCAGCCGAGGCAGGTTGGTGACCTGCGATTCCGGTAGCCGCGGGAGTAGTTTAGTTTATGATGGGGGGCCGAAGCCCCCCAGTTAATATGCGGTTTGCTTCTTTAATTAATAGACTCTCCTGCCGGTGGTGATAATCGGCGAGGGGTTGGATAGCCTTTTTTGTAGTCTCAGAGTTAGTTTGACGGATTATTGTTGTTTTAAGTTATGTTAATTTATGGAATCTGAGTTAATTTGATGCATAATTTATTCTGCACATTGGCTGGATAACCAGTACAAAAGTCCTGGATGATCAATACAGAGCATTGGATAATCAGCAAAGAAATATTGGATAAGCAGTATAACATCACATGATAGGTAGTTTAACAAAGAAGTAGAAAGACCAAGAAATTAAGACACTCAGTTTTTGTTGTTTGGGAATTTACAGAAATATTTGGACAACCAAAATACATTGTCTGGATATTTTCTTATGGAAACAACGACAATGGTGCCTGGAACATACCTAGTGACAGTGATTAGGTTTAGGTTTAGTACCAATCGGGGACTTTTGTTATGTCTTTTTCGAAGCCCTGTCTGAATCCTTGTTTTGTTATGTCCACATGGTGGATAGACATTGGTTACATATGGATAAACAGTATTGAGGTTTTTGATAATAAGTATAAACTCATGGATAATCAGGTTAAAGACTGTACTTGCATTTTTTTGACTGGATAATCACTATAAAGCATTCAGATAATTAGGTGTAAATAAGTTGGATAACTAGTACAAAGATCCTGGATAACCATTACAAACGGTTGTATAATATACTAGGATGGCCAGTACACAGCTGTTGGATATCAAACACTTTAGGATCAACAGTCAATCAATTATACAAGAGAACATAATGACAGTTCATTTAACCCATCCCTCAGTTTTTCTATCATTGTAGTAAGATTCGCTGCTCAAATCAACATGATCTGAAATTTCTTTTTGTTTTTCTTCAGCAGTATTTGTATAGAACTGGTGCATTGCTTTGAGGATTTTGTTCTTATTTTTGTTGACTGGGTGCATTAGGATTCTTATAATGTATTTCCACCAGTAGTCTTTGATGTTTCCTGTGTTGAAATCCAAAGTAGTACTATCCTCGTACTCACCACAATCTTCCTGTGCATTAGGATTCTTATAATGTATATTCCACAATCTTCCCCATTCGGCGTTTTGTCATTATGCGATGGTAGCTTAACCTCTGTGAAGGTGTATTGAGTACTGACCAGTTCCATGCCTGGAAAGACACATGCGATGTAGTTTTTGAAGAACCGAAACAGTGATGCCATAAAATCCAGGGATTAGCAAAATGCAATGGATAATTCTTAAAGTATGAAAATCATTTTGTACCTTTTTTTCACTCACAAGTAGATCTTTTGTTGGGTTGTAGTAGTCCGGATCTTTTGCATGAAGATTGTTGAATACAAGCACTTTCATTTCTTTAACCAGCAACACATAGAAAAAGTAATGGTCTCGGTAGTATACTGGGAAGTAGATATGATATTTCACATTAAAGGAGGAAATCATATAAAAATTTTTTAACAGCTAGTTTTAGAAAGAATGAAGGGGGTAAAAGATGTTGCTTACAGCTTTTGCTGCTAACATGGATGCTACAGTAAGGCCTTGTTCTTCCAGTTCAAGAGCCAACCTCTCATTAAATGTGAACTCCATTTCGTCTTTGTTACTGCCCTGTTCATAGTAGCGACTGATTTTATCCTGCGTTATTGTTTGAGATGGTTGAAAAATGATACAATGATCAGTACAATGGTTGGAAAATGCAGTAGAAAACAATGATCGAAATCAAGCACGTACAAGGTCAACCAAAAGTACCCTAGATGACACACAAGAAGGAATGATTAACCAGTTCAGATCTTGTGAATAAGTAATACAGAACAGATCGATAACCAGCAAATGAATCATGGACAAGCCACCACATAGAAGGGAGACGAAAACAATCCCATAGCAAAATGCATAACAAGAAGGCTTGGATAACCAGTTCAACTCTGGTGGACAAGCATTAGTAACAAATTGGATAATAAGTACAAACATATGGATAAACAACTTGCAGACATGTGACAAGTATCTGTCTGCCCAAACTATTTTTCCAAATTCAAACAAGAGTTTCCTGCATAGAAAAAGTAGTCAAATAGACAAATAGTTGGAACACTGGTAATTTTTTTATCCCATGGTTAAGGATGGTGACTTTTACCCTGATTTAACTATTTCTTCTTTTCTTTGTAAGAGAGCGAAGTCTATCAACAGGGCTTCTTCTTGGGTCATTTTCTTCTTCTCCTCTGTCCACTGTATGAATTTTTTCTTGTTCTTCTTCTAGAGCATGAATGGCGAACTGAAATGTTCAAGCAACCGGCGGACTCTTGCTGGATTTCTCCTCTTAGGTTTTTCATTGAGGATCCTAGGACAAAACAAAAGAGAGTTAGTATGTAAATTCGTCTTTCTATTTTGTAGTGGGGAGTCACAGTGGATCAAACTTACTTTTCCACTGTCTTTGTTAACTCTTCATCAAGCTCATCAGCTTCCTTTGAGATTGCAGGTGGTGGCGTGGTACACTTATTTTTCTCCAGCATCAGTAGACCACCCGTGGTAGAAGCAATATTCCAATCGGGTGGAATTATGCTTATAGGGACTGCTTCAACCACCTTTGAGTTCTTCTCAACTTGTTTTGCAGAAGCGGCAATCATCTCTAGTTTTCTGGTATCACTTAATGATTTTGAAGCTGGTGCACTGGCCCTTCTTATGATTTCATCGATGGAAGGAGTGGGATTCTTTGTTTCGTTAAGTGCAGATGGTACTGGATATTCTTCAGCTTCGATAGTCTTATTGACATCTTTATTACACTTCATGTGATATTTTCGATGGAATGACTGGGATTGTTCGTTTCTTCAACTGGAGCTGGTACTAGAACATCACCATCTTTGGTATGCTCATTGAATTGTTTTTCTGAATCGTCTTCCTCAGTGTTCTTCTCCTGGGTTGTCTCGTAACTGTCTTCCTGACTAGAGAAGATACCCAGGCCAAAATGTGGGATAGTTGGGTCTTTGACTACTTTCCTTTTCGTGGTACCAGTGCTTCTCGTCCTTCTGGTATAGGTGGATGTTGCACCAGTTTTGTTTGTTGTGGGTGTCACACCTGAATCCAGTTTGGTTGATTCTTGATTGGATTTTGCCTTGTCTTCTACTTGTGTGTCTCTATCCTGGCCGGTGGAATCTTGATGGGATCTGTTGTCTGCCAATTCTCCTCTTCTTCTTTCGCAAGCTTTTGAAGCTTTTTTCTTTTCTTGGTTTCTCTTACTTTTTGTTGTGGAGATATTCCTTCCATGTGCTGCCGTACAAAGTTGGAATGTTGGATAATCAATATGAACATACATATATATTGGACACATTGGATAACCAGTTCAAATGAAGTGGATAATCAGTTCAAACAGGCCGAATAATCGGCAAGAACACAATGGATAACCATTTAAAGGGAAAAAAGGGGTTGGATAAGAAGTACAAATTAGTTGCATGACAAGTACAATCACATCGGACAAGTATTTTTTTATTAAAAAAAGAACAACTGGAGAAACAATAGCACGGGGTTGGACAATCAGTACGAACACATTAATTGGGACAAGCATTTTTCTCAAGAGAAAAAAAATCGGTTGGATAACGAGTACGAATGAGGTGGACATTGGTTTTTATTTTTTTATTTTTTTATAAGCAGTAAGAGATGTATGACAAAAATATTCATTACTTTGTGGTTGAGTTTGTTGTTCATCAACAACCACTTCTTTTGAAGTAGGCACGAATTTCTGTACTGGAAGAGAATCCTCATCATTTGTCTCGCTCAATTGCTCCAGTGTTTGTGCTTTGTCAATTTCAATGTCTTGAAAATTTGTGGGATCAATTGGAGCTTGTACAGTGTTGTCACAAGTTTGTTGGTGTTGTTGTTGTTGTTGGTCAGTTACTTGTCGTTGCAGCCGTTCTATTATTGTTGCAAACCTGCTTTCAGCGGCCTTCCATGCTATCTCGCACAATTCACAAATCTGTGCATCCTGCAGGTCTACTTCTCGGCATTGCTCTTGCTCCTGTTGATGCTGTTGGTCCTCTAGATGTTGTGGGTCTTACTGCTGCTCTTGTTGGTGTTTCGTTGTCCCTAGAGGCGGAGGCAGCTTTCTACTCATCGACACCATTGCATCTGTTAGAATCTTGATTGTGTGCTTTGCTTGTTCATCTGGTTCAATTTTTAACTCCATTTCCTTTTCACGTATGTCTAAAATAGTTTTGCTTATCGTGATAATCAATCGGTAAAACTTTTCATAAAGAGTAGCAATGTCCTGCAAAAGTGAATGTAGTGAGTGGAATGTGGAGATGCTAGGTTGGATACGTAGGTGTAATCTGAAAAAAATGGTAGAACACTACAAAGACTTTGACAAGTTTGTCGAGACCCCCAAAAATTAATCTGAATTCCAAACAGACTAAAATTAAATTGTAGAAACAGTGGAATCAGGTCGAATCCCAAGAGAGCCGACTGTTGACACTTGGCTTCGTAACAGTAACAAAATGGGGGGGATGTTTTCTTTCTTCAAAATAAAAATTGACAAAATTTAAAGTAAATAAACTTAAGAAAAATTAATAGAATGGAAACCTTGGTTCAAGGAATATTTTTCAAATATATTATAGATCATCGACTAAAAATGATTTTTCTACAACTCAAGCATTCAACCGTAGGTTTAATAGGATAACCGTAAGAAAACCTTATATTTTCCAAAAAATATTTGACCAAGCTCAACACCTAATCAAAACTTACCATAATTTAACTGGGCACGATAACGTTCCATATTAAATTATGATAGCAATAAAATCTTTGAAAATGTAGTTGAACCAAAAAAAAAACTAAAATAATTGAGATAACTGCAATTAAAAGATTTTTGTCCTATTGATCCCCTATTTAGACTAATCATGCACATTCAACGTGTCACTACCAATATGCATAATCTGCTAATGTGCTACTTACTGCCAAATGTTTAAGACGATAACGCAACATAAACAATTTGGTAGCAGTAGGAAGAAAATACTTGATTAAATTGTCAGATTAATCAAGTATCTACTCTCATAAAAATAAATCAAAATCAATAAGTACTTAAATCAAAAGTAGAAAGAATAAAATGAAACTTGTAGTCTCACATATAATATAAAAGAATAAAAATCCTTGAACCAAATGAAGAAAACTAGCCACTCATGGTGACTAGAAACATCTTTAAAGGTGTAAAAAAATTAAAACAAAAGGCTAAATGAAAATGGTGGCAAAAATGGAGAAAGTAGTAGCAGCCAAAAAATGCAAGCTACGGGGGTGCTTTTCTCAATTGAGGAGACCACTATTTATAGTGCATAATGGCTGAAAAAAAATCCCAAAGAAATGGGAGTAAAATCCAAATCAAATCTCATCCTAGTTTTCCATTAAATCAGTATTTTTTTGCATGATTCTCTACAACCAAATATGAGATCAAGATGTGGATGGTTGACTTGGTAAAAAGAATCTTCTAGGAACCCATTTGTGTGTAATCTTTGCAGTTAGAATTTTCTTCATCTTTTAACTCCGTAAAACTTTGTAAAAGGGCCGTAAAAATTCAAAATGGTCCATCTTTTCACTTTTTTGTACCTAACAACAAAATCATAACAAAATCCATTAATAATCACTAAAATATAACCAATTTAGGACTAGAAGATTAATTTTATTATAATTATCAAATTCCCCCACACCAAAACTATGCTTGCCCTCAAGCACTCTAAAGTCTTTTCAAAACTTTACGAATCAGCATTTTGAAAATTTCAGCAGAGATAATAATTTGTAAATCAAGCAAAGCATCACTCATCATTTTGAAAACATGTGTACCCATTTTAACAGCATTTTCAGAACGTACCAAACTTTAATGTCTCACAAAGATTCACTCAATACACTCAAAAGAAAAGGATATTTATAAGTAAGCACTCAATCATAAACATAGTATGCATTCCATAGGTTTGTCATGTATCAAATCCTCTTAGCACTAAATGAACAATCATGGAACATCAAAATTAGGGTCTTTCATAGGGTTGTAATGGGTCAAGGGAATTTCAAAGGGTAAGATAAATATGGATAAGAAGGCTAAGTTACCGACAATATGTAGACCACATACTCAATTCTCACCATCATTCCAGATGACCCATACGGTGGCAACATTGATATACTATTACAAACGAAATCCCAATCTACTAAAAGAACTATTACATAAAACATAAGTCACTAAGACTTTTGATGACCAAGTTATAGTGTTCTAAAAAGATATTCAAATATTGTAAACACCAAACCCCCTTTATTATTTTTTTTTTCTTTCTTTTTCTTATGTTTTTTTTATTATTATTAAAACAAAAAGAAATTGAAGCATAAATCAAATAACTGAATGGACATAATACAGAACATAAGTGCCTTTTTTTCTTTTCTCTTTTTTTTTCTAGCATATTGCTTTTTTTTCATTTTGTTTTTTCATTTCATTTTTTTTTCATAACATTTTTTTTGGCACTGTCCTGACTTTTTGGATATAAGAGCTAAGACATTATTGGACTTAAAACAAGAACACATATCCTATCATACTAAACCTACCATACCATTATTGCCCCCGCACAACCACTTTCCACAAACCAAAATCAAGCACTGATCATACATACTCCGAATAATAGGTGAAAGACAGCTAAAAAGTTGGCTCAGGATTATATTGGTGGAGCTCAAAAATAGGCCCAGGCTTGAAATGGTTACTAGGGGTAAATAATTAAGGTATGATTTTGTGATAGCTAAACTTGGCAAAACCTAAATACCCTTATCATTTATTGCATAAATTCATCAATGCAGCTATGAAATGTATGACATGAGCAAAACAGTATAGTAACATACTATGAATGATAACACTCGAAAATTGAGCAGTGTGCTCTTTGGCTATGGAACCTCAGGGAAAGGGTTAAATTTGCATCAAATATGGCACATTATTAACCATTAAAACCAATGGGATACACAAAAATGTTTTGGCTCTAAATCATTTGAAATAAATTGACAAATTTGCACATATAGAGAGCCAAAATTTTTGAAAAATTTGGGGATTTTGACATTAAAACCAATGCAGGGGTTTATGAAAATAATTAAAACCAATGTAGGGGTTTATGAAAACAATAAAACCCTCCCCCACACCTAATTTTTACATTGTCCTCAATGTAAGACAATGTATTTGCACAATAAGAAGTAAACAAGGAGTTTGGAATAACATCTTTTAGTGCAAACTAGAAAAAATGCAGAGCTAGAAAAAGATAGAAAACATAGTAGCACGTAGACATGCAAATTTTCTAGTCAAACATCATTCAAGTTTATAAAAAATCAACTCAGCTATTTTGAAAAATAGCCAGCAAAGCAATAATAACTGCATAAGAATTGAGTTTTGGAAGCTCCCTGAAAAATTTCTTTTGAGATGTGAAGACTTGGAGTTGATACCAAAAGTAGCTACATGGTTCATGATGTGAAAGCAATTGCCAATGATGGGAATAATGAAGAGTAGTTGCCATTTCATCATGAGCAAATGAGCTCCTGAAAAAGAAAAAGGACAAATAAACAAAAAAAAAAATGCTTAAGTTATTATTATTTTTCTGATTTTTTAATTTTTAGTTATTTTATTTTATTTTATTTTTTTAATGAAAACAAACTGAAAACAAATGAAACCAAGTAAAATTTGAATAAAATGAAGGAAACTTTAAACTTGGGTTGCCTCCCAAAAGCGCAATTGTTTTATGTCGTTATGCTCGACAACCTCATTTTCTTTCAGTCGGGTAAATACTTAGGG